CCTCCACTCATCTAATATTTTATAATATTTCAAGATGAATCCATATTATTTTACTCATAATAATATGTGATGATCATCCTTAGGAAAACATCCCTCCCAGGGAAGTTCCTCATCTCAGCAAGAGTTTAAGCTTGAGATCTTCACTCCATAACTCCAGACAACTCCTCAACCAACTCAAGGTGAGCTTCATACCCCACCTTTTTCAATATTTTAATGTTTTTGGGGGAGAGTACAAGTCAAATCTTGCCTAAATACTTGCATACTTGCATGTATACGTATGTTTGTATGTGTGTGGTAATATTATTAAATTATTATTTTAGTAATATCCTCATGAACGTAAGATTTCACAACTTCATAAGAAACAGAAGATACTTTGTGTACAAAAGAGCCTCCCAACTATTGGATGTGTCCAACTTAAGCCCTTTATCTATGCTTTCATGTCTAGAAATAAAACTTATAAAAAGGAACCTTGATAAGTTGACACTTATTCTAGTGATTTTCGAAAATGGGAACTTTGTGACTATTTTGCAAACTGTCAGGGGGTATTTTATAAATATTCAATATAGAAGTTTGCGTCAAAAAAAAAAAAATACACAAATAGAGCGTTTATGACAGAAATATTTGCATGTCATAAACTGCTGTCGTAAAACGTCCAAGAACATAAGTAATGTTCTATATGTCATAAAACAGAAAATGCGTGTCATAACCGGCAGTTATAAATTTATACAAATTATAACTTGACACTTTTTTTCTCTTGACTAAAATGACTTATTTTTCAATAAACGAAAAGGAACGAACACGAGCACCTAGTTAACGAGCACAATCAACGATATGGAACGAGAACGATATCTTTATTCAACAAGTACAAATTTCATTATTTATCTAACAAATAATGGATCTCTAACGATTGCTCAAAAGGTTGTTAATATTCTAGTCAGACAAATCTCAAAAGTACCTAAATATAAAAATATTAGTGTACGTCTAAGTCCTGTAAGGAGTTATAGTCAGAGTCTCCTGAAGGGAGAGTGGGAATTTGTGTATAGATCTATACGGGGTTGACACCCCACACCTTCGCTGTTCGCTACAGCTAGACATGCCAGTCTAGGGTGACAAATGTCTTTATCCAAACCGAGGGCGCCTGAGAAACGCCAAAACAGGCACTTCGTCAGATTAGTATGGTTATAACGACTCACTAGAATATGTTATATTAACTAGAAATTTATGTAAGGAAAACCTCATAAATAAATTTTGGCACATTGTGTTGACTGTCCTACACGTGATAGGTGATGGTCCGCATTTGTTGTGTTGACTGTCCTTCTTCATTGCGTAGAATGTCCACAATAGCCATGTTGATTTTTCTCCTACAAGTATAGAGTCGTAATACTGCTATTTTTACAAATTAAAAAGCGTAGGACTCTATGGAAAAACGTTTGTAACCGATTTTGATAACGATAAACTAACCCACACATATACATAGTTGGAAACTAGAACTTACGATTATTTTATAGCAGAAAATATAGGATTTTCTGGGGAAAACGATTTTTCTACGATTTCGATAACGATAAACTAGAACGCACGCACTCAATTTTACTCGATAAGAGAAACAAGATTTTCAACCATATTTTCCTTTTTGAAAATAAGGGATTTTTCTTGAAACGGTTGTTTGTTACTATTCAAAAGAACTATTCTCAGACACAACACGCTTTTACAAATCACACTACTTTTCAAAATCACTCCTTATAAGGATGAACAAAAGTAATGTCATACACACACATATCCATGATTTTCAAGGCAAGACTTCAAACGATTTCATAGAAAATATCGGATTTTCTAAATGTACGATAAGAACGATTCTAAACATGTGTAAACGATTTTATACAAAAAATGTTTATGAACTCACCAACTTTTTAGTTTACGATTTTCAAAACTACTTATATTCTCAGGTATCTAGTAAGCAGGTAACAAGGGACGCAGATGCAGGGTTATTTAGCTGTAGTTTGAAATTTCTACTTATGTCTCTTTTATGTAACTCGAAGAACAAATACAATATGTAAACAATATAAGTTTGTTATCTCAATGTATGATGTTTGGATTGCTCTGTTTCATTTATATTCAATTGTTATGATATTGCACAATGAAGTCACCGCCTCCGGACGTTTCTGCCGTCTGGTCCGGGGGTGTGACAAGCTTCGTGCTTACGGTTTTCAGTTTTGGTTTCAGGTACTTTGTTTTCAAGGAAAGGAGTCAGCTCGATCGCAGCGCATCACACTATGTTTTCCGCACATGAGATCTTTGGGATTTCACTCTGATATGGTTTTATGATAATATGTTTTGATTATTAACACTTTGGTTTTGACATGAGATATTATTATGAATGTTTATTACGTATGGTTTTATAGAAAATTATTTAAAAATGAAAGTTTTAGCCTTGAATTTTGGGATGTTACAGTTCCTAAGACTGCAAGTCATGAAGCATCAAGAAAGAGAAAAAGGATAAAAGCAAAGGGTACATGTGTAATTTTGAATCCCAATGATAATACTTCATAAATTAAAGATCTTCCTACACAAATGGATACAATTATCACTAAATCTCTTTCTAAAAAACTCATCATTGGTAGCATACAAATCCTCATTGATTATTCCTACCTTAATCGAATCCAAACCATGAAAACTCATGTTGCCACGTCAGCAAAAAAAGCTTCTGATTCTTGATGTAAATGGATTGTTAGCATATATTGTTTCCCCCCACCCTCCAAAAGATCTCAAATCAGATAAATATATTTCAAGAAGAGCATGTAAGATTTTATTCCACTTTTTAATTACTAATTAAGGTAAAAATATCTTTTTATGGTAATTTAATTTATTATCCTTTTTATTATGCAGTATTCAAGAGACCTTTTTTGGATGATTTTTTAAGATTTTGCTTCCAAAGATTTGATGTTGCGATTTGGTCATCAAGAACAAGGTATTAATTGACTTGAAGATTTTTAAGTTTATAGGAATGTGTGCTTCTTGATATAAGAATTTTATATAATTGATATAATTGAGGTAATTGATACAATTAGTTTTTGGTTTTAAGCCATTTATGTTTGTTGATAGAAGATATATTTCATAATTGATATAATTTATAACAGTTTTGGATTGTTTTTTTCTTATACTCTTCATCTTTATTTGATTTGATCACAAACGACAAGATGCTTTGGTGCTTATTATGTTTTTTGTTAATTAGCGCTGGTAGGAGTCCTAATTTCTTAATATTGATTTCTATTAACAACGTGACACTTTGTTAATATGTATTTTGATTATTAAAATCATTCTATGAGAAATTTGAGTCGGATTTCATCAATATTAGGACAAAAGCTTGTGAGGTGTTGTAGAGAGAAGATGACCTAAATGAGATTGTCTAGGTATGTTGGTGGTTTTATTATATTATATATGTTTTATTTGATGAGAATTATATATGTATATGAATATGTGATGGTGGTAGTTTGGTGGTTGTAGCTGGTGGGTAAAGATGCATTAGTTGGTGTGAATTACATGTGATTCACATGTAAATCACATGTAATTCGCATATGATTCACTTGTGATTCACATGTAAATCACAAGTGAATCACATATGAATCACATATGAATTGCATGTGATTCACATGTAGATCACAAGTGAATCACATAAGAATTACATGTGATTCACATGTAAATATCATGTAATTCACATAAGAATTACATGTGATTCACATGTAAATATCATGTAATTCACATATGAATTACATGTGATTCACATGTAAATCACATGTAATTCACATATGATTCACATGTAAATCACATATGAATTACATGTGATTCACATGTAAATCACAAATAAATCACATATGAATTACATGTGATTCACATGTAAATAACATGTAATTCACATATGAGTTACATGTGATTCACATGTAAATCACATGTAATTTACATATGATTCACTTGTGATTCACATGTAAAAAACAAGTAAATAACATGTGATTCACATGTAAATAACATGTGATTCACATATGAATTACATGTGATTCACATGTAATTCACATATGATTCATTTGTGATTCACATGTAAATTACAAGTGAATCATATATAAATTACATGTAATTCACAAGTGAATCATATATGAATTACATGTGATTCACAAGTGAATCGAATATGAATTATATGTGATTCACATGTAATTCATATATTAATCACATGTAATTCACATGTAAATCACAAATGAATCACATGTCAATTACATGTGATTCATATGTAAATCACAAGTGAATAGCATATGAATTACATGTGATTCACATGTAAATCACAAGTTAATCACATATAAATTACGTTTATATGCACACATGCATTTTGTGTAAATGTTATTTGTTAATTATTTTTTAAAATTTTCTTGTGAATTTTACATTTGAATTTTAAAAGATACAATCACATGTGAATATCACATTATATAATCACATGTGAATCTAACATGACATATACATGTGCATTTTTGTGAGTGTTTTTGCATTAATCAATTTTTTTTAATTTTCTTGTAGATTTTGAAGAATTTGTGGAAAAAATTGAAGAGGTGAAAAGTGATAAATTGAAGAAAAAATATAAAAATCTTGATATGAAGAAATGACAGCACTGTGAATCTTTGTAGTTTTTTTATTTTTTTATTTTGTATCGAATATAATACTTGTAGTATTATGTTTATAGATTAATTAATAAAAATAAGATTTTTTATGATTCACTTACGAATATTATAGTATAAGAAATATGCATATATACATTTGAAAAAATATGTTTATATACATCTAAACCGTTGCTTTTTTTTTTGTTAAAAAAATTAGAGGTTTTTTTTTTTAAAGTTTTCCAGTTTTTTTTTAAATATACTGATTTTTTTTAAAAAAAATGCAGTTTTTTTTTCTTAAAAATTGGAGTGGGGGGTTGTGTTTTTATTGTCCTTAGTGAAGTCCCGCATATGTAATCAGCAGGTATGTCGAGGGAAGGAGAGTTTAATTGGAGGCATGTGGGTAGGAGAAAGGATGGACGTGGGAAATTTGGCTATGAATCGGTGAAGGACCCTGGTCAGCATCGGAGTGGAAGGAACGATTCGAAGTTCGATGATGTTAACAGAATTTCGGTTTCATTCTATGTTACGAATCTTCCAAGTGATCTTCACCCAAGGGATCTTTGGAAGAGGTGTGAAAATCTGGGCACTGTAGTTGATACCTATATTGCTCGGAAAAGATCTAAGATGGGTCGTCGATTTGGCTTTGTTCGATTTATCAAAGTCATAAATTCTCAAGAACTGGAAAGAAGATTTTGTGAGATTTGGTTTGGTAATTATCATGTGTTTGCATCCCTTGCTAGATTCAAGAGAAATGATGAAGTATCTATTCAGCACAGGAAAAGCCAGTAGCATCTCAGGATGAAAGTGAATGATGTAAAAGGTAAAGATGATCAGAAGAAGAAATCTTATGCCAAGGCTGTTATGGGTGAAGAGACGAGTAAAAACATATCGGATCCTCAGTTACGCAAAGTGATGATGGGAGACAGAGAACTCACTGGCATGACAGATGCTCAATCTACAATCCTTTGTGAGGTAAGAGAAGCATCTTTTATTCCAAACCTGGTTAATATGCGTAGTGAGGAGGGTTTTCCTAATGTGAGAATCCGGTATGTTGGTGGTTTGTGGGTGTGGGTATCGTTTGAATCGAGTAAAGCTTGCAAAACTTTCTATATGAACACGGGTATTTCTAATATCTTTTGCAACATTCGTCACATTGCAAAAGATTTTGTGATCTCGTACAGGGCTGTGTGTTTGGAGGTAATTGGTCTTCCTATGTGTGCGTGGAATCCATGTGTATTTAAAAAGTTGCTTCTGCTTGGGGTTCAGTGCTATTTTCAAATGATGATGAGACAAATTGCATGTCGACCGGTAGAGTTTGTATTAAGACTAATGTTATGTCAAACATTCAAGAAGACATTCTTGTGGTGATTGAAGGAAGGGAATACCAAGTATATGTAAAGGAAATTGCTCTTTGGGAACCTGATGTTGCGGATGATGGAAAGTCTTTATGAAGATGAGAACAAATCGAATGATCCTTTGGAAGAAGGTTATGGAGATCACTTTGATAGTGAACAGATTATGATAATCAAGATGAAGAAAGGAGTATAGATGAGAATGTAAATGGAAATTGTGAAAAAGAGCAATTTGTATCAGGTGAAAAGGTTGGTTTGTTTAATGAAAAAGAGTTAAACGAACAGGAAAATTATCCTATTAACAAAAGTAATACAGGGGGTGTTAATATCTGTCAAGAGCAAGTAGATTCAATCCATTTTGAACCGATTATTGCTAATGCAAATGAAAAAATGACTCCAGGGGCTAAAGTGCATACCGAGAGCAACGATGAAAGGAGTGAAACAGGTGGTTCAAAACCTCCGGGTTTTGGTGGCCAGAGATTTCAGGAACAAAAAACTATGGATTGTCGGGGTTCCTTTCTATATTCAGGTAATGAAATTAAGCGTTCACTGAGCACAGGGTCGGTGAAAATTTTGGAAAAAAAGATTCCGATAGCTGGAGTTAGTTCCTGTGATGAAGTAAGTCGGTTTATTGAGCTGGGAAAATTGTGGGGGTATGATGTGGAAAACGCAAAGGCTGATTTGAAAAAAAGATTAGTCGGTATGGGAGTGATCCAGTCCTTATGAATTGTTTATCCCTTAATATTTGTGGGACTAAAACGCTTAAAAAGCGTGGATGGGTGAAAGAAATTTGTATCAAGAATACGGTGAATTTTTTGGGGTTACAAGAAACTCGGATGACTCGTGTGGATCTTTTTAAAATTCGCTCTATGTGGGGTAATTCCAGATTTGATTTTGCATGTAGTACTGCTAGAGGGAGTTGGGGTGGTTTAGTTTCCATTTGGGACCCGTCTGTTTTCAAAAAGGATCGGGTCCTATGTAGAGAGAATGTCATTATTGTGGAAAGGACTTGGGTTATAAAGAATTTAAAATGTACTCTTATTAATGTTTATGCTCCCCAAGATGCTAGAAAAAAACAAGATCTTTGGGCTTATTTGAATTCGATTATGGCAAATAATACGGGGTCTTTCATTGTGTTTGGTGATTTTAATGTGGTTAGGTCTGCTTCGGAGAGGCATGGATCGGTTTTTTCTAGCTCTCAAGCGTCAGATTTTAATAATTTCATTTTTGATGCGGCTTTGGTGGATATTCCCATGGGTGGTCGGAAGTTTACTCGTATGGATACAGCTGGGTGTAAATTAAGTCGTCTGGATCGGTTTCTTATTTCAGAGGATCTTCTTGATGACGTTCCTGATATGTGTTGCTTTGCTCTTGAGAGAAGATGGTCGGATCACTGTCTTTTGATTTTGAAAGAAGATCCTATCGATTATGGTCCTTCTTCTTTCAAGATGTTTAATTCATGGTTGGATATGGACGGGTTTTCGGATGTCGTTCAAACTGCTGTTAATGAGTTTGTTCCAGACTCTCGGATTAACAAGTGTTTAAATTAAAAAAATAAACTCAAGTTCGTTAAAAATAGGATCAAATTGTGGCAAGTCAGTATGCGTGTTGTAAAAGGTGACCAACGTAAAAATCTCATAAACCGTCTTTGTGAGATTGACAAATTGGTTGATGAGGGGATTGCCACGAATGATCTCATGAATGAGAGATTAAATACATTACAGAAGGTGACAGAAATTGACAAGGCTGAATTTTTAGACTGTAAGCAAAAGTCTAAAGTTAAATGGAGCGTTGAAGGTGATGACAATTCTAAGTTCTTCCATGGAATGTTGAATAGAAGGAGGAAACAAATGGCGACAAGGGGGATTCTGGTTGACGGTGTTTGGGTTACTGATCCTACGCTTATGAAAAAAGAGTTCCATGATTTCTTTCGGTCAAAATTTCAACATTTTCATGGCGTGAATCTTGGTACCCTTAGTTCTCGGTTTCGAAAGCTCTTAGATGATCAAGTTGATGATCTCCAGTCAAACTTTTCTGAAAAGGAGGTGCGTGATGCAGTTTGGTCTTGTGGTAGCGATAGAGCACAGGTCCAGATGGGTTTACTTTTCGATTTTTGAAGAAAATTTGGGACCTTTTTAAGCAGGATGTGTTCGACTTTATGCGTGAATTTTTCGAGACAGGAGTTATATCGCCAGGTTGTAATTCTTCTTTTATCACTTTGATTCCTAAAGTTGATAATCCCACTGAAATCAAGGATTACAGACCGATTAGCTTAATTGGTCTTCAATATAAAATTATTGCAAAATTACTCGCGACCAGGTTGGAAAAGGTGGTTAGTTCTATTGTTAATCCAGTACAGTCTGCTTTCATTAAAGACAGACAGATTTTAGATGGCTCTCTAATGATTAATGAGATTGTTCGGTGGGCGAATTTAAAGAAAAATAAAATAATGCTTTTTAAAGTGGACTTTGAAAAAGCTTACGATTCGGTAGCTTGGGAGTACTTAGACAAGATTATGGAGGTGTTAGGTTTTGGGGAAAAGTGGCGTTCTTGGATTTGGGGGTGTCTAAGATCGGCTAGATCTTCAGTTTTATTGAATGGGAATCCCACAAATGAGTTCCAACTACACAGAGGTTTGAGACAAGGTGATCCTTTATCTCCTTTCTTGTTTATTCTGGTAATGGAAGGCTTGCATGTTTGCATGGAGGATGCCACTCATAATTCTTTGTTTAGAGGGGTGTCTATTGGTGAACACAATATTCAAATTTCGCATTTATTTTATGCTGATGATGCAATTTTTTTGGGTGATTGGGATGTGGAGAATATTAGGGTGCTTATTTGTATCCTTTAAGTTTTCTATATGGCTTCGGGTTTGCAAATAAATTTGCATAAATCCAAGTTATATGGAATTGGGGTGACTCTTGATGTGATAGAGCAGGTCGCCATATGTACTGGTTGTGGGGCTGATTCGTTCCCGTTTATGTATCTCGGTTTACCCGTTGGCCAACAGATGCATAGGAAATCGGCTTGGGAGAATATTATACAGAGATTTCTTAAGAAACTTTCATCTTGGAAATCTAGAATGCTTTCTATTGGAGGCCGCCTTACTTTACTGAAATCGGTGCTTGGAAGCTTGGGTATCTACTATTTTTCTCTTTTTCGCATGCCAGTTTCAATTGGTAAGGATTTAGAGAGAATTAGATCGAGATTTTTTTGGGGTGCGGAGGATCAAAACAGGATTATTCAATGGGTTAAATGGGATGTGATGTTGAACGCTAAAGAGCGTGGTGGGTTGTCTATTGGGAGTTTGGAAGCGTTTAATGATGCTCTGTTGTACAAGTGGAGGCGGCGTTTTTTAAATGACCATAATCACCTTTGGGTCCAAGTGATTAAAAGTTGTTATGGTGATGATGGTGGGTTTTCTTTGACTAGAAATCACAAATCCAAATCGGGAGTTTGGTTGGGCATTGTGAAGCTCGTGTGGGATTTACATGACAAAGGTGTTATTCCCTTTGATGCGATGTGTAAACAAGTGGGAAATGGCGCTAATACTAATTTTTGGTCGGATGTTTGGTGCGGAGATATTATCCTTAGAGCTCGATTTCCTCGCTTGTATGCTATTGCATATAATAAGGATGCGTTCGTTAGTGATTATTGGGATGGATCAACTTGGAATTTTCATTGGATTCAAAATATTAATGGTGGGGTGCTTGTTGATCATTTAGATCAATTAAATGTCCTATTGGAGTCGTTCCATTTGTGTAATAGACGTGATTCTTGGCGGTGTTTAATTGGTGCAAGTGATACGTTTGTGGTAAAGGAGGCTAGAATTAGATTGGATAACTTGAATCTCCCTTCAGGTGGTCTGGTCACTAGGTGGAATACCTTTCTTCCTATTAAAATTAACATTTTTGTTTGGAGAATGCTTTTGGATAGGCTTCCTACGAGATGTAACTTGGATAGAAGAGGGGTTGATCTTGAGTCATTGCTTTGTCCGTGTTGTGAAGTGGAACAAGACGAGAGGAATCATCTGTTTTTCGAGTGTAACGTTGCACGTCTTCTTTGGCTTAAAGTTGCTAATTGGGTGGATAAGTCAATTCCTACTTTTCGCGGAGTGACAGATTTTTTTTATGGATTGATGGTATTCCAGCCGCTCGGTTCCAAAGGGTGATCATGGAATCGATTTGTGCTACTCTCATTTGGGTCTTATGGAAGTATCGGAACAATCTTGTTTTTGGCAACAACAAGAAGTACAAGAAAGAGTTTATGTTTGATTCTATCATTTCTTTTTCTTATAATTGGTATTGTAATAGGAATCGTAAAGCTAGGAAAAATTCGAATGAGTGGATGCTTAATCCTCTCATGAACTAATTTGTTCTTGTTTGCTAGCTCTTTGCTAGCCTTTTTATTTCATTCAGCCATTCAAAAAAAATATATAGCAAAATTACTTAGTTTGGGATATTGTAGTCAGATTGTTTTCAACATCATTATCCTTCTTTAGCTTCCATAACGTACATTTTAACACTATAGTTGTTCAATGTCAAAACACTTCTTCAACTAACATATGTCAAGTCCCAATTCACTAACTAGTCATTAGTCATCCGTTATATCCACCACATACCACATATGTGGTGGGTGCCACATCAGCACCACATTCCCCTACCACTAACATGGGATACCTACCACTAAGGCTGGAGGGAGTGGTGCCACCGAAACCGCACTCCCTTCACCGCCACATAAGCGTCACGTCATTTTTACCACACTAGTGTGGTTTCTTGCCACACCAAGGGAGTGGTGTCACACTTTTATTTTCTTTTATTTTTGTTTTTCTAACTATTTTAATTTTATAAAACTTCTTTTTTAACAAAAAAAACATAATTTTAAAAAGATAATATTTCATTAATTAAAAATACAAATACCATACATTGCTTAACTTAAAAAAAAACCTAAAAATTTAGAAAAGCAGATTAAAAACATAAAACCTACAACTTATTAAAAAAAAGAAAAAAAAACACACCAATAGATTAAAAACTAAAAAAAAAAAAACTAGAAATTAGCCACGATTTACGTAACGTTTTTTCACTTCTTCCTTCATCGCCAAAATAACTTGAAGCTCGTCCCCGGTCATATTCGACGTGTCCATCGCTAGTATTCGCATGTCGCTGTCCCTTTGTTTCTAAAGCTCTCTTTCAGAAGCAATTTGCAAAAATCTTGTCCATTCTATCTTTTATACCCGTCATGTCGGCCCCCATTTCTTTCAACTCATTTGAATCTGACGCTTTGTCTTTGCCTTTGCTTTTTTCTTTGTCTCTTCCCATTGGTCGGGAAGGTGGTGAAACTGGAACAGGTTCATCTTCGTTCAGATCAAATTGAACACGAGCATCTGATGTAGTGTGGTCAGACTCAGATGTTCTGCTGCGTTTTGAACCACTGTCGATATGCTCGTCTGATGTTTTGCTACTTTGCCATTTCTTGTTATCTTTCACAAAATTCCAAACTTCAAGAAACTTGAAAGCCTTCAGATTTTCTTTTTGATACACATTCAACGCTTTCTTCAAAATCACTTCATCGCTTTCTCCACTTTTCCATTGACGTTTCATGTTGTTATACAAATCATTAAACAACATGATTTCCTTGTTCATCTTCCCCCATTTGGAGTACACTTGATGTTTTGAACGGTATTCTCCACGGTTCATTCCTTTATGGAACCTATGTAAAACGCGAAT